AAAAAGGCCTTTGAATGTCTACTTTTGGCATTTCGAAATATTTTATTTTCGACAATTTCTATTTTTTTTTTAATTTTTTTTTTTTTTTTAATTTTTTAATTACTTTACGTTCATACACATTTATTTGCGGCGCCACACTTTCGATCATGGTTTTCGAATACCAACTTGCTAAATTACATACATATTACTCTATGAAAAGCATATCAATTTTCCAACAACAACAAAACAAGTGTGACCACTAAGAATCGACTTGCAAAAGAAATTGCGCAGCTCAAAGGAGGAAGTCAGCGGCTTAGCAACCAAATACACGACTTTCCGCCATCAAGTGTGATTTATCTTTCAGGCACTTTTACTTTGATTGCGCTAAAATCTTTCCACAAACGAAAACAACTAAAAAAAAAAGGAAAAAATAAAAGCGAACTCGATCAGTTAGCCACGAGGAAGTAACGAAGTTTGCCTGCCAAAGAATGTTTTATTGGCCAGTAGCGCCACTTCTTGCACTATATCTTTGGCGCCGCAGCATTAGATGCATGTCTAAATGTTTGTAAGTATATATATGTATATATATATGTATTGTATATCCACCAGTTGCAAGGCGCCACAAATAGTGTGCAACAAGTGATTGTTGTCGATATCGCCCAACGAAATCAGGTGAAAGAAACACGTTCGCCCAGTTATGTACGCCTGGTTTTCATGCCTTTTTATGGTCAAAGCAGTGTGCAGTGTAGACAAGGAGATTTATCTGTATATATGTATGTATGTATATGTTGACATATATATAGGTGTATCGTGGCGTTGATGTTCGGGAACAACAGGTGCTATTGCTAGGAAATACTTTGTGTATATAAATATATAATGGTCTAAATATGTACAAAAAGGGTGCTACATTTAGTGGCGTCGAAAATTTTTAATGGAAACTTTCAGCAAAAAAAAAAATTAGAAACGATATTCAAAGAAATAATATTTTCTAATTTTCGGTCGATTTCGCTGCTATAGATATACAAAAAAAATAACTCTATTGTGGGACGAGTCCAGTTGGTAGCGTTTTTTTCGTATTTCCTCCTTCTGGAGGATCTATACAAGACCAATTTAATGGTCACTACTTCAAGCAGCGATATCTAAGGTGAGTGAGTTATTTTTCATCCTCCTTTTTTGCCTCTTAAACACTTGAGCTCGTGTCCATAAAACAAGGAAGAAGGAATTTTTATTTTTTGAGCTCCTGTGGAGATCAGCACGCTCCATAGACCCAAGTGAGAGCAAATACCTTAGTAAAGGACTGTCAATATTATGCCAACGCAACGTAAAACATTTAGTCCTGCTTTGGGTGTGTCGTCACAGTCGCTATGCTATACCTAATTCCTCTTCTTGCGTCCTCATCGCACAACATGGAAATGTGAGTAATACTTCTTCTAGATGCGGTAAGCAACTCGTGTGGAGCCTTGGGCCACGGATAAAAGAAAAGGATTTGAGGGTTCACTAGAGTCTTTTCAGCATAATGTACTCCCCAGAGCGGCGATTGAGAGCGGATGTTGGTTCTGAAGCAAGCGCCTCGCTGGGTAAATGTGTCCAATATTTAAATCTATTCTCATCATGAGGTTGTAGAAACCTGACGCTCACTACAAACACATTAGAAAATATGATTTGAGAGATTGTTTCAGAAATGCCCTTGTAAGACTAAAGGCTGATATCATCGTCGTCCACGAAATGCCATGAATGGGACAAGGACGGTAGAAGTTGAATCCTTATGAAAGGTACTACAGCGACCACATAAGGGAGTACAAATTTTGTATCAAATATATAGAAGGGGAGAGACTCCGTCACTTAATTCTGGCATTCCATCCGATAGATGAATGTCCCCCCACAATCCGTACCAAAGCCAAGCTCGTCAGCGTTTCTTTGATTTGTACTCACGCTCCGAAGGAAAAAAAGAACGATATGACTAAAGCTATAAGTACTGCCAACGTCACATTGTCAAGATCAAGCTTGGGGATTTAGCTTAAAGATCAACCTCATTTGAGAGTGCTGTACCGCAATTCGGTAAAAGCGAACAATGAAACGGCTTTTCAATTATCGTACGTACCGTTTCTACTAAAACTGTTGGTTTTCCATAATCTCGGAAAAAGAGCTGGTACGATGGGGAATGTTGAGCTCAACGTTACGTTCGACCGCAATATATGCGAAAAGGGATAGCCATCGCGTGCTGAAAGAAGAGGCAAGACGTATTTGCAGACAAAAAAGAAAGAGACTGAAACGCCTGGGTATGGAGAGTTTAAGAAGCCGATCGACAGGTGTAATGTTCTAAAATTTTAGGAACCAAGAAGGTAGTCTGTTGATCGATGTCCAGAACATACTGAGCTTAAGGAGCTTGCTAAAGGACTATTGAAAGGCGGGACAGTACGAAGTACCACTACACGACTATAACGAAGTTCGTACGGAGGCTGTTTGTATAACAAAGCGGCGGGAGTCTATAACTCACCAGATGAGCTATTAAAATACGGCCTTTTGGGTGAGCCTGTTCAATATCGCATATAAGGTCTTCTCTAGAGTGTTGTTTGAAAGATTAAAGCCAACTATCAACGAACTGGCAATTTGTCCTTTCACCTGGTTATAACATACCAAGATTCAAGATGATTTTATCAATTTCAAGCACACATTTGCAGCATCAAAAGGAGCTGCTCGTACGCCGCTGTATCTGAATTTGGTATCTCTGTAAGGCTATAAGAACTGCCCTAGCAAAGCTGCATCAGTACTGGAAAGGACCTCTTCAAGACATTCGGTATCAAACGCTGCTTTATATAGAGTGACTCAGCTTTCTTTCTATTGTATAAAAAAGCGAGGCGAATGGAGCTGGTGACAAATGAGGGCTTGACGCAATTTGTCCTGTTCTCAAACAAACATTCATAGCACTCGCGACTCGGCATAACTACAATATTAATACGTGATACATTTCGTCTCTCATCAGCGCCCACAGCCTTGAAACAGCTATCCTTTCAAGACGGCCGCAATAGCTAAGTGGTTAGGCATTGTATAATGAGATTCCAAGGCCACAGTACGCGTCCAAGTCTGACTAAATATTCAATGTTATGGAAAAATTGAGTTTATTTTTGACATAAAAATCAAAGGACGTCATAAAGATCCTTTGACCATTCGGTGACGGCTTGGAATTAACTGTAGGTACCTCTATTTGGGGAAAAGCATCAAAATTTAAACCACAAATTGGAAATTGGAAATCTCTTCAGCGGTAACAAAGCACCAATTATATCGTCCTTTCTCCGTAAACAAAATGTCAAAATGTCGCGCAGGGGCATGGACGATGGCAATGTTGATTCGACCTCGAGAAAGGTTTTTTGCTAGATTTTTAGTGCTCGGCGTATGGGTGACGGTGAATACCGCAAAAGACATAACGATAAAATACTTAAGTAAATCTGTTTAATTTTTGAGCATTGATATATTTATATATATATAACATTGGCACTTTGTAATCGCTGAAGCGATTTTTCGGCCGAGCTCCTCCTCCAATTTGTGATTTTGCGTCTTGATGTTTTTCCGCCAATATGGAGGGATCTACAGATCACTCGGAGGGGTGGACGTTATCTATTCATTTCTCATAACTTTTGGATGTTGTTGGCACCGGGATATGAACCCCAGCCTTCCAAATGTCAGTACGCAATACTAACCACTCGAGTAGCGCATGGCGACCGCCATCAGCCAAAGCTATCAAGCTTCTTTTAGCAACTTGATTTAAATCTATGCCTCCAACCATTGCAGAAAACTTTGTGTTTCAATTTTCTTCCTTGACTAAATATTTTTCAACAAAAGTTTGCTCTTTTCCTTACAACCGCAAAAGTCCACCAGCTGAAATCAACTCAGCCGCCTTACCTTTTATTACTTTCATAAAGGAAAAGTAAAAATAAATAAATTAAACTGCTTTAAGCAAAAAGAAAATTTCGATACAGTTTTCCTTTAACGCCACTTGAGCCAACCAAACTCGCTTTTATTCAACCAATTACTTATTTCTGGTTCTCAATGAATACCAAATGCAAAGTCATACATATGTACACACATATACACGTGTATATGTATGTATATCGTATTTTCTATGGCGCGTGCCTAACGAAAGTGGACCCACATAAACACATTCAAATTGTGCACGTCTCTTTTATTGACGCATTCAAGCGCGTATTCAACGAGTTTACGATGCGCTGCCTGCTTGCTTATTGCCAATCGAACAATGTTGTTGTTATTGCACTTATTATTTTCAACGCTGGTTTTCATTATAGCTGACTATGCAGTTACTGACGCCGCGCATGCGTAAAATCGCGTGCTTCCAATTCAACGAAATTACTCGAAGAATGGTGAGCTGACTGTATGTATGTATGTATGTATGTATGTATGTATGTAAACAGTAGCGGCATTGCCTATAGACTGCGACCGAAATTGTTACTGCTAATCGCATACTGTGTTAGCCAATGCCATGGCCAGCCAGCTAAAGCGCTACCTCACAACAACATCAGATGGTATGCCATCCGCAAAAAGTAGACAACCATAAAAGCCTGTTGACCACACCAGAAAAACACAGCAGCGGCGGCGCAACAACACGAACGTCAACACTTTCATCGGCAATGCCAAAATTGGTTGGAAAGCAATCAAAAAATGCTATAAAAACGTAAGAAGCAAAGACAAAAACAAATTGAAACAGTTTGATTTGCCAATGTGCGTTGCAGCGCCCGGCTTTTGATGCGCGTTTTATTTTTATTTTTTTGTTTTATGCTTTTTTTTCTTTGCATGACGCCACATTTTTGAGGCAAGTAAAAAAGTTAACAACAACAGTTGGTATGCACGTATATACCTACATAATTACTAACATTTGCAGCGCAGCACTGCAAAGACAGACATGACAGTGCTGTAAGCATTGCCAACAACAACAACGGCTCGCTCGGCTGTGTGGCTTTTGTTTGATTTGCGCATTGAGATTTCTTTCAGTCGACTTTGAAATTTCCAACGCGCCTGACTGATTTGCCTGACACTCGGAAATTCGCGCGTGTGCCTGGTTGTTACTCCTCGCCTTTAAGCGGTGTATATTTGTTTTCTTAGTGAATATCTTTTTATCTCTAAAAAAAATACTGAAATTTTATATATTTTTCTATAAGTGCAAAGGATTTCATCAGCTTAACGGGCCAGCTTAACGGTCATGAAGTTATTGGACGTTATTGTTTATCTCATTTCACTTTTAATCTTCATATACATTCTTTTGGAATAAGTTGTGTGTGTGTGTACATACTCGTAATAGAATTTGGCGTATTTAGAAAAAAATATATTTTTAATTCAAAAATAACTATACCCACTGCCTCTAGCGGTTTATTATCGAGCAAAATTAATGAAATGAAGGTGAGTATTGTGGAAAACATTTTTAATTAATTTAAATAAAAACTAAAGTTAAATCTTTTAACTGCGGATGCCCTTGGCAGGGAAAGTCAACTCCTTCAAGTATATTTCTAACATGTAAATTAAAGGCTCCTCAGAAAAAAAACATCAGTAGTTCGAAGACGGCTTAGTATAAACTTAAGGTTCCTCCATTTGTTGGAGAAACATCACGACGCAAAACCACAAATTGGAGGAGGAGCTCGGCCGAATATCGCTTCAGCGGTTACAAAGTGTCAATTATATATATATATATATATATATATATATATATATATATTTCCAACAAATGGAGGAACCTTAAGTTTATACTAAGCCGCCTTCGAACGGCTGTCCTCGGCCATGTGGAAGTCTTTATATGTACCTTTTATGACCGCACAAAAATTTTGGTAATTCATTTTAGGGTTGAACATTAATTGTCCCATCTGAAAATAAAATTTTCCAATTTCGATAATATTCGAAACTTATTTTTATATATTTATGTGTGTAGAATACCTATTTTCTTGCTCTCGGATGCTCCTTTTCATGGATTTTTACCCAAAACATCAGATTTGAATTAATCGGCTATACGTTAACTATGTTTTGTAATATAGTCCTCCGATTCCGTTGATTTTCGGTAACAATATTTGTTTGTAGTTGCGAATGTACAGCATTATTCCGTTTGCGATTTCGAGAATGAACGTAAATAAAATGCATTTTAAATAATTTTTTTTTTCCTGAAATTCCATTTTTATTATGAAGTTGGAACCTTGGCAGGATGTCGTGAAACACTGCATCCTTTAAATGGTCGCCTCGCAAATCTTTACAAACTTTAATCGGTTCGGGGTAATTTTCAACAATTTTTCAACGTATTGGTGTAGTAAAAAGTTCGTTCGGCTTTTATCTAAGAGATGACGTTATTGTCCATAGTACTAGCGTTACGTATCGCATCATGTCATACTCTACGGCGCTGAAAATGTGTTTACTCGCGCTAAAAGTTTGTCAAACGGTCGTTATCAAAGCTCGGAGAAGCGGCCCAGACGGTGGCCAAGACCGGATTGATGGCCAGGACGGTTTTGCTGTGTGTTTGGTGGGATTGGCAAGGAATCATCTACTACGAGCTGCTCCCCTATGGTCAAACGCTCAATTCAGCTCTCTACTGCCAACAAATGGACCGCTTGAAGGCAGCACTCATCCAGAAGACGCCATCTTTGATCAAGAGAGGCCGAATTGTGTTCCATCAGGATAACGCCAGGCCACACACGTCTTTGGTGAAGTGCCAGAAGCTTCAGGAGCTCGGGTGGAAAATCCTAATACATCCACCTTGCAGTCCGGACTTGGCATCAAGTGATTACCATCTTTTTCTGTCCACGGCGAACGCGCTTAATGGTGAGAAGTTGACCTCAAGAGATGCTTGTGAAAATTGGCTCTCCGAGTTTTTTGCCAATAGGAACGCAGCCTTCTACGAGAGGGGGGTAATAAAGTTGGCTCCACTTTCACTTACAGTGGCGATATTTGAGATAGAGTTACCAAAACGATGATGCACAGGCACTAAAATTTCTCTAACCGATCCAGTACCTTTAAATTTTTTTGAAATTCCTCCAAGTTCTTGAGCAGTTAGCCGATTATATACTACATAATTTTCTTTTAAAGCACAAAACGTGAGCATATTTGGATCACCATTTTTGTAGGCTGTTCCATATTCATAAATGCCTGACTTTTAACTAACACAAAACATGTTTGATGTGACAGTTAATTTTGACAGCTGTGAAAATACAGCGCTGTACTTTTAAAGCCTCGAAATTGGTAACACTTTCTCTCATGCTTTAGACGCTCTTTTAAGGGATTTTTAATTTGAAACCTCTCATCTGAGGAAAATGATTGTACTAGGACTATGTGATATACGAGGTGTGACAGTTAAGTCATGAGACTGATTCCATAAAAGCCGTATATTTCAAAATTATTCTACAACTCTGTCATCCCCTTAAAAGTAGTCCCCTTGGGCAGCTATACAACGAATCCAGCGCGTTTTCCATGCTTCGTAACATTACTGGACCGCTTCGACTCCGATGTCCACGAGTACCCCCATCACGACCGCCTGGATGTCCTCAATCGGTGTGGCGCTGCGCGTTGTTGTTATGAAGGACCCATTTTCGCAATCTTTCGGGTACTTTGCGATAGTAGACTTGATTCACGGCTTGCCCCGGTGGAATAAATTCTTTGTGGATGATTCCACGGCAATGAAAAAAGGCAATAATCATCGTTTTCACCTTCGAATTGCTCATGCGAGCTTTTTCGTGAGGGGGCGTGAGGAGACAACCATTGTGAACTTTGGCGTTTGGTTTCCAATTTTTACCCACTCTCCTTAGTTACCGAAAACAACCAATTGATTTGGGTTCCTCAAAAATTAAAGGAGACTAATTCATTATATTGCCAAATCTAGTACCTCTTTCGTACCCCGTCGAAAATTAACAGCGGTCGCTTGGACTGACTGATGATATTGGTTCAGTGCATAAGTTCGTGCCCGATTCCGCTGGATGCCGTTCGAATCGTTTGAGAGTGGCGCTCGTGAAAGAAATATATACATATTAGATATCGTTGGAAATGTGACAGTCTGAACTGTAAATCAAGCACAAACTAACAATAATTCTGATTTGACTTGCTTAGTGAAAAGACGCATGGAAGATGGACAACGAAAAAGATCATATGCGTCATATTATGTTATACGAATTCCGCAAAGGAAAAACAGTAGGCGCTGCAACTAAAGATATTCGCGAAGTTTATTTGGACCGTGCTCCAGCACTCCGCACAGTAAAGAAATGGTTCGCGAAATTTCGTTCTGGAGATTTTAACCTCGAAGATCAACCTCGCAGTGGACGGCCTTCTGAGCTTGATGACGATGTTCTAAGGACTTTAGTTGCGAATAACTCACGTATTTCGACGGAAGAGGTTGCCAGTGAATTGAACGTCAACAAATCAACTGCGTTTCGTCGTTTAAAAAAGGTTGGGTACACTTTGAAGCTCGATACATGGGTGCCACATCAGTTGAGTGAAAAAAACAAAGTGGACCGTATGTCAACAGCAATTTCTTTGCTTCGACGGATCAAAAACGAACCTTTTTTGGATCGGCTCGTGACTGGTGATGAAAAATGGATCCTGTACAACAATGTTCAACGCAAAAGAACATGGAAACAGGCACACGAAGGGGCGGAACCGATGTCGAAAGGTGGATTGCATCCGATGAAGGTACTGCTGTGCATTTGGTGGGATATCCGAGGCGTGATCTATTTTGAGCTCTTGCCAGCTGGAGAAACGATCACTGCCAACAAGTATTGTCAGCAATTGGTCGAATTGAAGAAAGCAATTGATGAAAAACGTCCGATTTTGGCCAATCGCAAAGGAGTTCTTTTCCATCATGACAACGCCAGGCCACATGTTGCAAAACCGACCCTGGCCAAACTGAAGGAGATGAATTGGGAAATCATGCCGCATCCCCCATATTCACCCGACATTGCACCTTCTGATTATCATTTGTTTCGATCGCTGCAGAACAATTTGAATGGAAAAAAATTTAAAAATGTGGAAGACGTCAAAAACCACCTTGACACCTTTTTCAACGAGAAACCGCGCGATTTCTATGAATCAGGCATCCGTAAATTGGTTGAACGTTGGGAGTGGATTGCCGAACATGATGGCGAATACATAATTGATTAATAAAAGCGCTGTCTTCAAAAAATTTCAATTTTAGTTTGTACTTGAAATCGGGCACGAACTTATGCACTCATCCAATAATTTGAAAAAGTTATATTTACTATGTGATAAGCAAGTCCTTACTTCGGATAATAGAGAACATCCTTTGTTTCGCTATATTCAGAACCATTTGAGTGATAAAACTTTGTTCAACGTGTAAAAAATTAGACATACCATTTTTCGCTTCTAACAAAAAGACTTCTTCAAATATGAAAGTTTACGGTTTTGAAGAAATTGCTCTTTTTGCTGTTATGTCCATAAGAGGATACCAGCTTGAGATTATAATCTCAAAATTTGAAGTCGATAGGCAGAAAACTTTCAAAGTTATCAACTTGGTTGTTTCTTATCGGTGGTTCTGCGCGGGTCTAATACTAAAAATGAACAGAGATATTTGAGAGGGAGGATTTGACGATATTTTAACTGATATTTATGAATAATGGTTTCTTCGCTTTTTTGACCCTACCCTTCCCTTTAAAAAGTTTTACCAATCTCTTCAAAATCTCTTAAAACTATAAAATGAAGAAAGAGCTTGACCCAAAATATATTCATAAGCTTCACTAGTCGGATATCGTCTATTTTTTCAGTACGATCAGATATCAGAGTATATAATTTACAAATGAAAACTTGATAATTAAAATATTACTTACTTCCTTTATTGGCTTGGACACCGCTTACACGATTTTAGCCGCTGCTTGGCGTCAATTGGAGATGTCAAGTAGAGCCAGGTCCTTCTCTAGCTGGTCTTGTCAACGGAGTGGAGATTTTCCTCTTCCTCTATTTCCACCAGTGGATACTGCATCGAAAACTTTCAGAGCTGGAGTATTTTTATCCATCTGGACCATATGACTTCACCAGCGTATCCGCTGTTTCTTGATTCGCTGAAATGCATTAATGTCGCCGTATATCTCATACTGCTCATCATTTCATTAACTGCTGTATTCGCCGTTACCAACTCGTAGAGGACCGTAAAGCTTACTCAAAACCTTACTACCGAAAACTCCCAACGTCGACTCATCGCTTGTTGTCATCGCCCATGCTTCCGCACCATAGACGGGAACCATATGGGACTTGTGGAGTTTGATTTTCATTTGTAGAGAGAGGACCTAAATTGTCAATAGCCTACTCAGGCCAAAGTATCACCTGTGGGCAATTTTTATTCTGTGTTGAACTTCTAGGATGACTGGTTCTGCGTTAAAATATTGCCTACAACAAAATAGGTATATAGGTAATTTCATATA